CCTGAGCAGCCGTGTCCCGCCCCGCCCGGCCGCCAGGGGGCGCTGAGCTGAGCTGTTCCCCGGCGCGCCCGCTCCGCTCCCCTACTCAGCCGGCCCGGCCCGGCCCACCCCGGAACCGGAGGCTGCAGCGGGCGCTGCCCTGAGCCTGCGGCGGGCTTCCGGGTTTTTGTCCGAGTGGTTTTTTTTTAGAGAAACGCCCCAAAATAAGGGCTGGGGATTAAGTTGAAAAGTAAGAAAACAGCGGTGTTTTGAGGCCGTCACGTGCTGGGGGCTGTGACCTGCACATTTCTCTTGGAGAGGGAAGCATCTTGAAGCAAAACTAGTCCCTTGTTCAGAAAGAGACATGGAAAGTGGTGTCCCTGGCCAAGCACTCGTCAGAAGATGGCCGCTTAGCAGATGCAGTTTTGATGGGCTTTGTTGCAACAAAATAGTGATGCAAAAGCCTATAGAAGGGGTATATTGAGAAAACACGTATCTTGCCCACCTAGCACATTCTGATACCTGCCTCTACCTGCCTTATTCTAGGAAAAAATGGTAACCAGTCCCGTTACCATAAATATAGTATTGTTGGCTAGATTATAATCTCAAATTTAAAAGCTTTTGCAATTGCTTTAGCACATGCTTGGTTTTTTTCTTGTTCCAATTTCACTGGACGAGAGTCTTGTTATTGAGTTATGCAGGAGCAGAACTAGGCCCTAGGTTTAGTTATGGAGAATGTGTGGGAGTGGTTATCCAGCGCAGAAGAGAATGTCTAATAATACCTTAGGGATGGTATCCTATTTTAATTACCATTTGTACGTAGATAGCACCATAGGGCTAGATGCTTGTTTTTATATATAGCCAGTTTCTGCCATCTTTGTCCATGCTGTGAAGTCTGTGAAATGAGAATAACAATACTCGTCTACCTCAGAGAGGTTTTACAAGTCTTCATTATTGATTGCCCAGGAAGTGCTTTAAACCTGTCAATGAAAAGTGCAAAGAAATAAGAATTTCTGCTATGAGCAGAGGTGTAACTTTACATTTTGGTGCCCAGGGCACGCAGGGAGGAAAGGATGGACAGTTTCCTCCTTCTGCAGGCCATGACAGTCGCAACAGCACAGGCGGCTGCTGCTGCCTTGGCACGAGCTCCTCCAGTTTGGGCTGCGGCAGCTGCACGGGCTCCCTGTGGGCTGCCATTCTGGCGCCCCCGGCCCCTCTCCTGGATCAGCACCTGTGGCTGGCACACTGGTCACTCCCCACGTGACACTACTGCTGGATAGCTCATAGGTTGGAAGTGACTAAGGAGGAATAAGCCCTGGGTGTACCGATCAAGCACAGGAGAACGAAAAACCGACAGCATGATGCAACTATCATTGCACCCGTAGGGCAAATGCATTCTTGGATTGTCAGGCAAGATGAAAATCGGGAAGCATCAGTGTCATTGTACAAGATATCACCTGGAATACTGTACACAGGTCTGGTCACCCATGGTCAGGAACATGTAATTCAAACTGAAACAAGTGCTCTTGACCAGAGGAATGGAAAGCCTCACTCATGGAGAGAGACTCAAAACGTTTGGTTTGGTTAACCTAGCAAAACAAAGGTGAGAGGGATTATGATTCCTCCATAAATACATCAGGTGCTAAACACCAGGGAGGGGGGGAAAAAAAACAATTTATGCTAAGGGATAATCTTGTTGAAGGAGGGTAAACTGACCAGCATAAATTTAGTTTGTAAATTAGACGGTATCTAACTATCAAAGGGTTCTGGAATAGCTAATAAGAGTAGTGGAGGCAAGCAACCTACTTGATCAGTTTATGAAAGGGGTTATTTTATATGTTGCCTGTGATAGCAGGGAACTGGACTTAGTGACCCAGGAGGTAGGGCCCTTTCAGTCCTGTTGTAAAGAAAGTGATGAAGTTATACAATGAGATATGTGCTTTTTGATGCTGGGCCTTGTGCCCAAGCCAAGGGATAGGCTCTGCTCCTGGTTTGGCATTTACTTTTTGCTGGTCCAGATAAGGTAGTCCCATTGCTGACCAGATCTGGCAACTTCAGCCCTCTGTTGTCTACATTGGCCAAATCAGTCCCTTTGTAAAAGAGGGAATGGATACCAATTCATGATCAATTCCAGGAACACACAAAAGGCTGTGGCAGAACTTTAACTTACCTGCATGTTTCATCCCTGACCTCAGAGCAGCTGTCCATAAGCAACAAACCTTCGAAAACCAGCTAACTTGAACTTAAAATTATTAACAGACTGGATTGTATTAACCATGATACTGTGGATTTATTACATTACCCAGACTAATTGTTAACTGTTAGGATCCTTCTGGATATTAACTGCCTTGTTCATCTCAGTTGATCTAATCAACCCACATATTACCTCCCTTATCAATCAATGTTCCCTTCTTCTTCTATATCAAATAATTTCTCCCGGTCTGTTCATGGAATCTGATGAAGTAATTTGTTGCCTGGGAGAACTCATGCCTCTATGAACCAGTTAGTCTCCAAGGTGCCTTGTTTACCTCCCTTCCACCTGAATCAACAGAGAAATAATACATATCCTGCTTAGCTGAGAGTACAATTGTATGAAAGAATCCAGGTATTGGAATCAGTTGAATTGGAGACTGTACAGCCATAGCTGAGATCTGTGTTACAAGGATTTGTTGGTATCTACAGGTACTTACTTCCCTTCTTGGTTCTGGAGCCTAGTTTTCTTGGAATGCTTGTTTTATTTGACTCTTGCATGTGACACGCATGAAAGGCTGCATTGGCTTCTATCTCTGCCATTCTTGGCCACTTATCCAAGGTAAATCCAGCCTCTGGAAGGAATACATCTTATGTTTGTTGCATGCGCTGTAAAAACATAGAAGTGCATACACAGTAACTAAGATCTTTTGATGAAAGAACCAAATGTTACTTAGAACACAAGCAACTTTCAGTTGCATGCTCATGATTGTGCAATTTTCTGGGTTACTTAGGCGATATTCTGTTGTATACTGTAGAGGGTGTGTTCACATCAAGGGAGTATTAAATAAATTAGGCAACACTTTGTTCCTTTCAGTTTGTCTTTGGTTTAGGTGGAGGACATCAGCCTCAGGCTAGGACCTACCAGTAATAAAATTCTCTGCTGCTTTTTTCTCAAACAGAAAAGTAGAAAAGTGGGTGAAAATGAAGGAAATGAATGAAATGCCATTTCAGACTTACTGGATTTATCATAATGCATACTATTAAGAAAAATGCTTAGATCCAAAAGAAATTTTTAAAAGTCCATCAGGAAATCACTGTGACCTAGTACGGACAACACTATGTCATTCAGTCAAACCAGGCCTCCAACATCAGAGGTGAGAACTTTTGTACTGGATGTTTTAGAAAAACCTGTATAATTGTTTTGAATTTTAAAAAAATGCTGCTTTGCAACATTTTTGGCAGATCTGTACAAAAAAATCCAGTTATGTACTATTATGTAAAGTAAAAAGCCATGCCTAATACATACCTAATAATCAGAAGACTATAGGAGTACTTAATATATCTTATTTGTGTCCACACTTACACTACAAAAGCTTTTTAAAGTAAATTCTCACACTTGCTGACCTTGTTTAAAGTTCCACCAAAGGTAAATTATTAAGCACCCAAGACCCAAGATATGCACTGTCACCTTATATACTTTTGCTTATCGTAGCCACCAGTTTATTCACTTGAATGCTTCCAGTATTATTATCGCTGCTATCAATGGTGAGAACATATTGAAAAAAATTGCCTTGTGCTGACAAGGTCTTGGAATGAGTCCACTGACTTCAAAGCAGGCCCTTAGAGCTCTGCAGATTTTGGGGAGTTAAGGAAAAGAAAAGTCTAAACCAGGAAATAACTGTAGGCCATGATATGCTCTCCCGAAATGTATTAAAAAACTTGTCTACCGTACAGTTGGTCCAACCATGCAGTTTGTCCAATAAAAGCTATCACCCATAGAAATCCTTACCAAGTATTCCCAGTAAGTTCCATCCATTGCACTGGCTGTGCCATCCAGCAATACAGCTCCTCCTGTGTCTCCACTTCTATTTTTGAGATTTTTCTAACATTTCTGTGAAAACTTCCACAAAGAATGTGCTGTCAATTGAAATCTACTCCTCTGGTTGTTTGTAATTTATAATTACAACTTAATCACTGACAGCACTGTCAGTTGTCAGTTTATCATATACTACATACATGCAAATGTATAGTCCCCAGAGTTATCTTTAACTTTGATGGTGATATATTTTTGTGGCCTTCACTTAAAAAAAAGAAAATTGAGGATCTCTTAGCTACAGAGAACCTGCCAAATGTCAATCAGATGTAAAAAAAAGTATCATTATGTCTGCCTGGAACAATGACTCAGAGGAGTGTGCTCCTCTGTCTAAGCATTACGGTCTTGGCCTCATGACAGCATTCTTTGACCTTTTGTCTAAGATCAAGTGTATTATTTTTACGGCAGAACACACATGTAATTTCAAAAAAATATAATTAGATTAAGGCTATTAGGTTGCAGAACAGACAAGTAACATGACTTTACAGTTTACTGGAATGCTCTGACTTACATAAATCTGTGCAATCAAGAAAAAGATGTTGTATAGTCTCTCTTTCTTTTCCATAGCTGACATTTTTCAGAACTTCAGTTATTTTTCTTATTATTGGACCAGAACTATTGTTAAGAACTGTCTCAGAGTAAGCAGTTAGGGATTTGAGTCCATTATTATTATTAAACTCCTGTCAGCTATTAGTCCAAAATCTGTGTAACTGTTGAAGTCATCAGATAATCAGTGTTGATATAATACATTAAAAATTTAGATGACTGAAAGTGATAACAGAATTTGTGGTACTAAAACTAGTTTGGATCAAATTTGCTTGCTGAAATCTGACATCAGCACAAAAATATTTTGAAGTACATTCATAGCAATTTAGGCCTAGAAGGGAACTCTCATTTATAATGTGAATCTAAATAGGCAAATCAAGGAACAGTTTAAAATGATATAAAATACAAACAAACTGAACAAGGCAGTGGATCACACACACACTTTTTATTTTTGTTTAATTATATAAATCCTTTTACTGGGTTTATGTTACATTTTTTGCTGTAACAGCATGCCTTTCACCTAAATGCTAAGTATACCTGTAATTGCAATAATCTTCTTTCACTGTACTTAGTTGGTGGAGCTTCATGTTTTTTACGTCCCAGAAGACGTGTGGAACTTCAAATTGAATACGATTTCTGCAGATCATATTAGCACATTCATTTCAGCTGGATTTATAAGGTGAGTCATTTTAATGAGGAACAGTGCCCAAATCTTGCTCATGCACATGCTTAACTTCACGTCTGTGAGTAGATCTGTTATATTGTGTTCCAACACTTCTGTGCTTCTGAGTCACTCCAGCTAGAACAATTTCTGTTCCCTGCCCACTTCCAAAATCCAGGGAGAACAAAGCAGGCGCATGACCAGTTTTGCTGCTTCCAGGGCTACATCAAACTTGGTGTAACCACAGCCCAAAATTTGGACCATTAAAATGCACTTCAGAAGGGGCTGTTAAAAAAAGAGTTGCCCCCCTTTTAACATGATGTTAGAGGAATGGTTCACAAGAAAACATGGATTCCACAAGAGCAGTTCGTATAGTGAAGATGTCTAAACCTCTTATACAATATTTATTTTCCTTTGTATAACTAAGATCCCAATCCTACAATGAACTCTGCCTAGAGCACTCTTGAAGTGAATGGTATTCCATGTAGGCCAGAGAGCGAGCAAGCAAGCAAGTCTGTCTGTCTCATCCAATGAAGCATGAATGTTTTCTGCAGAACAACACAAACCGTCAATCAGTAAAAATTGGGGATAAATGTTATTTTTTACATTATGAAAGGACAAAAAAATGAATTTGTCTGTTTCTAGGTACATTTTGTTCTCTAATTAAAAATTACATTTTTTAAATTTAAATTCTTTGGACCACTAATCCAGCCAAGTCCCAGATCTGAGGTGGAAGCATGACATGACAATATTCCAAATATTTTAGATTATGAATGTCATCATATTATAACACCAGTCCCAGAGGTCCAAAGCCAAAAAATCATTCCTGGAGCATATACAGCAGGGAAAAGCAACAGTAGTGGGAAGCAGTCAACAAGACAGGCATGTGTTCCCACACAGAACCTTGCATTCCTTTTGCCTGGCGGTCAACTTTTTCTCCTGTTGCTATTCTGAGTAATTTTTATATAGAGCTCATCATCTCAATACCTGAATGCCTTATTGGAATAAGCAGCATAACTAATATGTGTATATGTTCTCTTAGCCTCTTCCCAAAGGACAAGTGTTTGTGGGGGCGGAGAGAAGAGGTGGGAGAGAGAGCATACTTTAGGACGTTTTAAATTATACACATGCACGCACATTCCTATGTTCACACATATTGCTATATTTATGTTGAAGAAGGTATGTCCGGGCCTTGCACTTAGACCAAAGGTTGATGAGGTTTGTAATGCTCCTTGGTTCTGGGGAGGGTTCTTTACACTGTTTTGAGTTTACCTCCTGAGAAAGCCATTATTTTCTTGGCAGGTGAGCTCCACCCTGATAATTCCCAGCGGTTTTGTCATCTAATGCCAGATAAGCAAAAAGTATTCCTCAGGTTTCTGTCAGGTTTCAGGTCATGCCACTTTTGATTTTTGTGTGTGTTCCTGGAATATGAATTCTTCTCAGTTGGGGTCAGGATAGCTTTGTATCATAGTGTCACCACATTATGAGGCAACATCATGACTTGGCAAGACCAAAACTGACCTGAACATAAAAACAATTCAGGCCCAGTTCCGTCAAGTGTGACATGACTATTGTATATTTCTTTCCATTATATCCGCCCAAACCTAAGCACAATGTATCACCCCCTCCTACTCTTACTGAATACCCAGCCTCCTTTGATCTTGTAAATGGAATAATGAATAATGACATTCCAGGGCATCTCCTTGCTTGACACTGAGAACACTACGGGAGCAGCTTGGAAAGTACCTAGGTGAAGATGCTGTGGCAGATAAATTTAGATTTCTAAAATGTATAGGGAAAAAGCTAGCAGTGGTAAGTTATTGCTTTATTTTCTCTACAGTTTTTCCTCCTGTTTAACAATAATGTAAAATACAGATTCAGTTGCCGTAGATTAAGTATCATTACAGGTTTTAAATGGGAGATGGATAATTTTTTGAACAACACTGATATTTGTAGTTATGTGTATGTTTGATGAGATATCCAAATAGCGTTCTTCAGGGTAACAGCTGTGGTCAGGATGGAAAGTTTTCTTCTGTATTCATTAGTACACAGTTGGTCAGGACAGTTAATCTGTTTCACTTTCCTTTAATACATTGGAAATTAGTCATTATTTTCCATTGTAAAGAGACCCAATTTAATGATAGATTAATAGAAAAATAATGCAGGAAGGGACTTCATGAGGGCTTTTAGTTCAGCCCCCTGCTCAGTGCCATTCCTGTCTAAAGCTTCTCAGCCAAGCGTTTGGACTACAGATTTTATTTAATAAGACCAAATATAAGTCCATGTGTGAAACACATGCATATTTTCAAAAAGAAATGTGTAATGAAATTTAAGTCTGCCAGAACTCCTTCAAAAGGTCCTGCTCCACCTGTTAGCTCTCTCAATACAATCTGTAGCTTAAAACCAGTCTGACTCTACATTTCTATTGCATCTGTCAGCCCACTTGCATAAACTGTCCAGTTTACACTGTAAAACAGTTGCATCTGTGACTCTTAGCTATTAAATATTTGCATATTTAATTATTTTACATGTTATAGTTAAAATAAGTGAAAAACTATGAAGACAACCAGTACAGTTAAATGTTGAATAATTTCATAGCTAAATCATTCTAGAAATAACACTGCCTTTGTAGGATTTTTTTTCATCTTCCATTTTTGCTTCTCAGAAGTTTGGTATACATATACAAGCTGAATATTCTGTGCTGTTATGGATTGAATTTGCAATCAAGTTATCAGTAATATTACCTGTTTGAAAAACTAGGATAAATATCAAGAAATCTACAATAAATAGCGAGGGAGCAAAACAAGATCAAAAGCAGTTTAAGGACTATGGAGAAATGTAAACATTGCACAAAAATGTAATACCATGCAATCTTTTGAAACAGAATGATATTAAGCAATGAGAGAAAGAGGTAGCTAGCCGTGAGTCTAAAGTCAGGCAGAAGGCAGCATAGGTTTGCACCTTAGAGTAACTAAATTCATAAGCCAGGGCTTACCTCATCAGATGCTATGAAAGGACATGTACAGAGCAATCTATCAAATAAAAAGAGTGATTTGAATACAAAAGGAAGGGAAGGGTGCAAGGGAGGGAGGGGAGTAGGGGTTGGGGAGGTAGTGCTGGGATTTGATTTGGTTTGACTTTATTTGATTTGATTGAATTTGACTTGATGTGATTTGATTTGATGCACTGATCTATGCAAACCCTTTCACAACATTTGATGAAGTGAGCTCAGGCTCACAAAAGCTTATGCAGCTCTGATTTCGTTAGTCTGTAACAGGGGCGGGCAATTATTTTGGGCGGAGGTCTGCTTACCCAGTTTTGGCAGGCTGTCGAGGGCCACATGGGTAGCCCTGCCCCTTGACAGGTACCCTGCCCCTTGGTCACCATCTTGGGACCAGTGTCCTAATGTCTTGGGACCAGTATCCCAGGGCCAGCACCAGTGGGGTCCAAAGTGGGGCACAGGCTGGCAGGGGTCTGTGGAGCTGGGCTGGGGTGCACCAGCAGGGGGAGGAGGGAGCTGGCCTGGCTCCATAGAGCCCCTGCCGACTGGGACCCCACGCTCCTGCCACCCTGCCCTGGGCCCTGCTGGCACTGGCCCTGGGACACTGGTGCAGGCCTCGTGCTCCCGCTGGCTCCCGCACCTGCTCACTCCCAGTGCCCCCCAGCCCCGGGGTACAGCCGGGGGGCAGCATGCAGCCCTGCTCCCCAGCTGGGAAGAAGCTGGTGCTGAGCACAGGGAAAAGAAGCACCTCATCCACCTCATGGCCGGCGCGCCCTGCTGCAGCCGCTTGCAGCCCACGTGTGGCAGTCCTGAGCAGGCACAGAGAGCCCCATGAAGGCTGCGAGCAGCCGCAGCGTGGGGCACCAGCCACAGGGTGGGCAAGGGGCCGCTTTTCCCCACACTCAGCACCAGCTTGTAACCCGGCCCCGCTACCAGCCTGGGCCCCATGCGGCTCTGGGCTCACCTGTTGGGGCTGCGCTGCGGCGGCAGCAGCTGCGGCCCCCCCACTTGCCACACTGGGCAGTGTTTGCTGCTGCTGCCCACCTGCAGCTCGTGCGCTGGGCAGCCCAGAGATGGTGGTAGCAAACACTGTCCAGCGCAGCAAGCAGGGGTGCTGCAGCTGCTGTTGCCATGTGCAGCCCCAACGGGCAAGCCCAGAGCCAGCGCAGGGCCCAGGCTGGCAGTAGGGGTGGGTTACAAGCTGGTGCTGACCACAAGGGAGGGAAAGTGGCCCCTTGCCTGCCCTGTGCCCAATGCTCCATGCTGCAGCCACTTGCAGCCCTCATGGGGCTGCCTGTGCCTACTCAGGACAGCCCCGCACGGGCTGCGAGCAGCTGCAGCAGGGAGCACCAGCCACAGGGTGGGGGAAGAGCCGCTTTTCTCCGTGCAGGGAACGAACCCAGGAAAAAGCTGAGTGCACGAAAAAGCAGCCCTTCCCCTGTCCCGTGGCTGGCGCTTCCTGATGCAGTTGCTTACAGCCCACATGGGGCTGTCCTGAGCAGGCACAGGCAACCCCAGGCGGGCTGCAAGCAGCTGCAGCATGGGGCAGTGACCACAGGGTGGGTGACGGGCTACTTTCCCCCCCTTCCCATGCTCAGCTTTTCCCTGGGCCACTTTTCCCTGGGGTCCTCCCCTGCCCTTCCTTCCCCCACACTTACCTGAGGTTCCAGCACCCCTTCCTGAGACACGTGTCCCCAGGCCAGAAGGGCTTCCAGCTGTGGGGGGCAGGGCTGGGCAGGCCCTGCTGTTGTGGGAGCCTTCTGGGGCTTCCTCTAGATCCTACTTCCCCTGGTTGCTGTCATTTTTTACAGGAACCAAGGGCTGTATTTTGCCCACCCCTGGTCTATTAGGCAACATGGGGTGTGTCTACACATCGCCATATGGTGAGGTTGCTGTGGCGCCATGTTTTACTACTTCTTTTTGGAAGTCCTAAAGCACAGTGCAGTATGGGAGGTTACTGCGCCGTGCATGCAGCAAGGTTAAATTTCATGACTACATCACCATAGCAGCATGCTATACACAGAGAGAGCACCGCTACAGCAACATAGCTAGCAATCACATGCAGACAAAAGTGATTCCTACATTGCCATAGTGCACCATACAGCAACATAGCACGTCACTACATCACTGTAGGGCAACATGTAGATGCTCTCATGTTGTACTTTCTTTCCTAGTAAACATTTCTGAAGCAAAACAGATGTTTACTCCCACTATTTGAACTTCAAAGCAATCTTAAGCAGCTGTTCTACTCCTTCCTATTTAGTTTTGTAGAGGAAGTTAAAGTTCAATATTTGTTGTTTGGAGTCATGGTAACCTTAAGCAATTTTATCTCTGCCATCGAATATTTGCAGAGCTTTTTTTTTTATTTGTTTCACAATAGTGACACTGCAAACTATTGCAAGAGCTCACTACACTTCCAAAGGAAAGGCTTTTGAACAATTAATTTTCTCCTTTTTTTTCTTCTGCTTCTTTTTAACTTTTATCTGTGTCAGTGAATCAGTGGCATTGCCAGGAAGTAACTAAGAGCAGATTTTTTTAAAATTTAATTATTTCCTTAATTAAATTTGGGTCTAAATTTAAATTCAGATTTCTTTTTCTCTCCCCTTCCCCCTCCTCCCCCACCACAAGGCACGTGTCTTTCAAATGTGCCTTTAAATATGCACCATTTACTCTACATTTTACTTTTTAGGTAGAAGTCTGAAAAGTGTATAGCCATGTATACCAAGACAAGTAAGAAATTCCTTAACTACAGTAGACATCTGTAGGACAGTTCGGTTGGTTATTTTTCTACTTGCTTGGTTTTAAGAATTGAATAAAAAGAACTGAAGTAAGTATTTAGGTACATATTTGTCAGGTTAGACTTAATCCAACTTCCAATAGACAGTGGAGGTCTTTCCACTGACTTCAGTGGGAGTTGGCTCAGGCCCTGTAAGCCCAAAGTACAGGTGCAAGAGATGATGATATTTATACAGATACACACATACTCCTCTTGGGCAGATTATGGCACACATGTGGTATCAGATTGTTCATTTTCAAGCAGATGCTATGTAAGAAAGTCAAATTAAAATTGTTTTATATATTACTTCCACCAAGCTAATTCTGACTGTTGCTTTAAAATTAGTATTAAAGTATTGCTTAAATAAATGTAGCACGTCCTAGCTAATCTCCAAAGACGACAGAATCCATACAAATTGAATGGTATGCTGCATTTCTTACAAACTGTTTTTTTTACTTCAATTTTTATCTTCCAAGGTGAAAGCAAAACAGGAAACAGAACTGGAACTCAAGTTGTTTGCTCCCCCATATGTATGTATCATCTGATTTTCAAGTTACCATTTTCACTTCAAGTCTTCTTTCATGTCTAGTTAACTAGCATAATGTCTTTTTTAGGCACTTTCTCCTGAATTGTATTTTCTGCCTGGCTTAGACCATTTAGAAAGTATTTATTCATCATCATCCACAACTTCAGAAAGACAACACTTTTATGAAGACCCTGCAGTACCCAGTAGCTATGTCCATGGATCAACTATTTTAAACCTTCCAAAGAGAAAGCTTGAAAAAAGTCAGGCATTTCTAGAAAGTCCACCAATAAATCATTTAAGTCAGAATCAGAAAGAGCATGGTTCTTCAGGATGTAATAAAAACGAAAAAGAAATAATTCAGGTTCAGCATGACTCCAAACAACATGAGGGAGTCCAGAACAACAGAAATCGGGAAAAACTGATTCCACAAAGAAGGAAAGGTAAGATGTAACCAGTGTGAGGAAGGAGACTGAAATGCTTTGATACAGACCTCATCTGTAATTACAGTATACAACAAAACCAACCTAGTTTGAATAATACTGTAACTAACTTAAGGGCTCAAATTCAAGGTTGAAGATGAAACTATTCCTGATATTCACTATACTTATGTATCTGGCAATTCCTTATTAAAACGAACTGGCAAAGGGGGGAAATGAATTGCTATCCTTTCTTACCTGATTATCACACACAGGTTAGACTTTAAAGAAGGGTGGCATTTTTTCCTCTGAACCCTCAGTTTGATTTTTATAAATCCAGACTCATACAACTTTTTCCCTGGGAAAGATTATAAGCAGCTGAAGGATCAATATGGTTATGACATCAGAGAGATGGATTGTTTAATTGAGATTCAAAATTAAAATATTGGTTTGATTTTTTTTATGACTCCCATTTAATACACATACTGTGCAAAAAAGTATTTCAGATGAGCTTTAGTTAAAGCACCCCCATTGCCATTTTTCAGCGCGGGAACACTGATACACATGACACTAGAGTCTGCTGGAGCATGGTAATTACCACACTCCAGCAGACTCAATTAATCGAATATGCTCCAATGCACTGTAATTACAGCACGTCGGGACAACCAAACTGCGCATCTGTAGGGGCCCAATAATTCAGTGCCATATGTGGGAGGATGGGAAAATAACCTTCTTTTAAGGGGCAAGCACAACCCTGATACTCTCTTTCTCTCTCCACCCTCCCCCTCCCTTCCCCACCGATCCTCCCCAGTCAAGTACTTGAAAGCAGAGTTTCAGAACTGTTTTCTTCCTTTTAAGTTGGTATCTGTGATTGGATGCATTACTTATCTTCTACTGCTTTTTCTCCTTTGTAACATACTTGGTACGCATTGCTTTCTGGAAATGTCACCTTTTGTTTATTTTCATGTCTTAGGCCACTAGTTGTTGAAAATGAAAGAGTGTTTTTATTAATAATTATTGTTAACATTATAAAGGAATATCTAGAATTATTTTCCCATGTAAAAAACTGTCAATTGTAAATACAGACCAAACTGAATCCCAGGGGTCTCTCTGCCTGCCAGGTCATCTAAATCCTGCAAAGTGGGAGTCCAAAAGAAATCCTGCCTCTTCACAAAATCCTCAGCAAACTCATCTCAGTGAGAATCAGAAGGAGTGTAATACACTAAACTGGAATGAGAAAGACAAAGGGACCATTCCAGTTCTTCATGTAAAAGAAAACCATGAACAAAAGCAGAATAATCAGACTCAGGAAAGTCACATCCCACAGAGAAGAAACGGTACAGTTTATTCAGCTCATTTATTTTTAAGCATGTCTTTAGAATGGGGATAAATAGAACTAAGTGAGAATTTTAAAAAATATAATTACATCATAATGTAAATTAAATATCACACATTAAATATAATTTAAACTGTCAGATAAAGTTATAAGAATGAGCTGAAGTTGTAAAAGGAAAGGAATCTGACCCTGGGTGTGTCTACACATGCATTAGATTTGGGAGCAGTTTACTCACAAGTAAACTACTTGTGAGTAAATGCTCCCAGGCAGGTGTATACATGGGTAGGGAAGTGGAATCAGATTTGCCGCTTAAGCAGCAAACTGCTTCCGCTTCCTGGGGTCCTGCTTTGGGCATCTGCTTCCACCAAGGGGGGCTCTAGGCTCCCCCTGGGTCCTAACCCAGGAGCTTGCAAGGAGCACCGGGCCAGGAGACATTGCTCCCTGCCCCCCCAGAGGCTGCCTGCTGTTGGGGTGGGAACAATATCCCCCTGTCCTGGCAGCGGAAAGCTCCTGGCCCTGGCTCCCTGATCAGGGGCAGGGGACTTGGAAAGAGCTGCAGGGGAAGAGCAGGTGGCTGGCCCTGGCTCCCTGCTCTGATCTGCCGATGAGGCAGCAGCTGCCCTACCCCTGCAGCTCTTCCCAAGCCCCATACCTTGATTGCCCAATCGGGGCATGGGGCTGGGATCTGCCCCTGACCAGGACAGCTCCCAGCCCCGCTCCACAATTGCAGAGCGGTGACTGGAGAGGCTGTTCCCTGCCCAGATCCACGATTGTGGAGATCCTTATTTCCCAGCCCGAGCTCCACAGTCACAGGGTTCAGGCTTGGAAATTCTTCTCTCCCAGCACCAGCTCCACAAGAGTGCAGAGCTGGTGCTGGGAGATGAGGCCCCATGGTCACAGAGCTGGTGCTGGGAACTCCCTGTTGGCAGGGGCTGGAGAGCCTGTTCACCACCCAGCTCTGTGATCATGGAGCTGGGCAGGGAACAGGCTTCCCAGCCCCCGCTAGCGCGGAGCTCCCAGTGCCAGCTCTGCAACCACAAGTAGCAAATTTACTCACTATTAGAGCAGTTTAATGTGCAGTAAGCATGTGCATGTGTAGATGCACATGCTTACTGTGCAGTAAACTGCTCTGCTGCACAGTAAAGTGTTTCATGTAGATGTACACTCCCTTTCCCTTACCTCACCCTGTTATGCCAAAGATATAGTCAAACATAATTGCATCCACTATTTTGAATGCCTTATATGGCACATATATGTAGACTAATAATAGCAGACAAGGTTCTTTGGGTAAATGTGATATCTTTATTAGACCAACTAAGTAGTTAGGAAAATTGTTCTTTGTCTGCAAACTCTATATGTGCCTGAAGAAGGATGTTTGTGCCCAAAAGCTTGCAAAGAACATTTTTTCCAGCTATTTAGCTGGTCTAATAAAAGATATCACATTTACCCAAAGGACCTTGTCTGCCTATGTCCTTAGACCAACACAGCTAGAACCAACAACCCTAAAGCACGGAAGATATAGCATAATAAAGGTTTTCAGCGTAAATTCTAGGTATTTTTTTGGTTTGGAATGACAGTAGTTAAAGTTGGACACTGGCCCTTAACTATAAGAACTACTTTGACAAATAAGCAGTGGCAAATGGGAGGGGTTGCTTTTCCCCTGCACAGAGCAGAAGCTTCTGCCTGGCTGCTGCCGCTGCTCAGCATTTGTGGATGAATCTGGAGCAGGCGCAGGGTGGGCCAGGTTGGGGCTGTGCACGTGGGTTCCGGCTAGTCCAGAGTGGTCTGCTTCACCAGGCCAAGTCTGGAGCGGGCAGATGTGGGCCAGGGTTGGGGCTGTGTGCACGGGTTTCTACCAGTACCATGGGGCTGGTGCCAGTGGCAGTGGAAGCTGAAAGGAACCACTGCTGCCTAGGCTGCCTACAAAGGCAGTCCAGCTGCGGAGCCACCCCAGTCCCACTGCATGCCCAGGGGGTGGCAGGATGCGCCACGGGCCAGACAACACCTGGGCCAGGCAAGACTAACACATATTTGGGGTCGGGCTAGAAGATCTACTAGGTCCCTTCCGACCCTTAATCTATGAATCTTAATCTATGAATCTATGAATATTTTGCCCACCCCTGACCTAAATGGAAGCACCTAAGCCCTTATGACCTGTAACATCCATTGTGTTTACTGGTATTTGTAGATATTTAACATTTACAAAAATCAAGTTCCTTGTATTTAGTTTCTTAAATACATATTTTAGGATCCTAATTTTAGACATGTTTGTTTCAAAGTGTTGACCACTGTAAAGCTTTATGGGAACGTTTTAATTTCTACTGTATATAGAGTTTTTTTGTGGGTCTTGTCAAATATATAGTGAGATTCCAGTTATTTTCTGTGACTGTTGTACAGAAAAGATGTATTCTTATATTTAAGCTCCTGATCTGAAGTGTATGGACATTAATGGAGTAGGCTGTTCTCATACTCTTTAAATCTCCCATTGACTTAAATGAAAGTTCATAGAATCATAGAAAATGAGGGTTGGAAGAGACCTTAGGAGGTCATCTAGGCCAACCCCCTGCTCAAATCAGGACCATCCCCAGCTATATTATTCCAGCCAAGGCTTAGTCTAAAAACTTCTAAGGTCATTAAAAAAACCTTCTAAGGATGGAGATTCCACAACCTCTTCAATATAGTCTGTGGCCTAACAATGTGTGTTTAAGAGTTTGTTTTTTTTTAAATCCTGCCCTATCAAAGTTCTTTGTATAACCAGGTAGAGATAAAAAAAGAAATTGGATAGTTGAGCTCAGCATTTTCAATTCCTGTACATTTTTATAGATTTTTTTTAAAAACCCAGTTATTTTGAAAGAGCCCTGCTTCATCCTCACTTATTGATACAGAGAATTACATAAACTTATTTCAGGGATTTGCCTGATCTTGTAGGGAAATGAAGTGTTTTCATATAAAACATTCAGGAGACTTAAATTTGGGCTTTTTGGAGCACTAGAACACATTCCTCTGCCCATGGAGCTTAGGAAATATTCAGGGTCTGTCTCCATGAGTAGCTTCAGCAGGAATTTCATATAAACAAACTCCTGCATGACTGGGCACAGGAATACAATAACAGGGGAAAGAATGTCATTCACTGAAATGTTCATTGTCAACCATCTCTACTCAGATTTACTATTAATCACTTACAACACCAATAAATGGAAAATACTTCTACTTTCCTCCTACAAAGTAGAATGTTAATATACTTTAAAAAACTGGAGAGTTTACTTTTAAAACTGAGAAAAGGTTCCCTGAATAGTCTATATGGGAAATAATATAAAACTGTGGGTGGGTTTGGAATAAAACTGCATTACAAATGTCAGTCGTCTGCCAGGATTGAGAAATGATTTTGAAAAAGATGCGTCAACTCCGCATTCCCTTCTATTTTTACTTCCCGTTCTGCTACTGGATGTTTTCTGAATAATGAAAGCCTGTATGTGTCTTCAGAATACTGTAAAACCCTTAAATTCCTCAAGATTAAAAAAGGGGGAAATGATTTTTTGCTGAGTTTTAAGTAAAAACTGATGTAACATACCTTATTAATGACTCCCTTGTCTTTCATTTCTGACGATATTATGAAGAATTAATTTTTTTGTTCAGTATCCATTTTGATAAAATACAGTTTTAAATTACATCATTAATACAATAGCCAAATTTTACTAGAGAGTTTTATCACTTTAACTTTGTTCTTTGGGTGTGCCGATATTAGAGTCCAAAGAGGACTTAAAGCGTTATAAATGTAGTCTAAATATTTTAGCTTTTGTTTTTCATAGATCAAATCCCTACACTACTGGTTACAAATATGGAATATGAAGGAAATTTAAAAGGTAGTTTAGAAAGAAAAACTACAGAAAATTCCAGATCTCCAGAATCATTGGAAGACAATGTCCTACAAGATGTTCATAATAAGAAAAGGTAAATGTAGTTAAGTAATTATTTTGACTCATTCATATGCTTTATAAATTTCTGTAAAATGAAACCATGAAGGAAAACAAGTACTTTAATTAACTCTTAGTCTGAGGTGAGTTTAATTAAGTTAATTTTACTTCATTATGTGATTTTACCATTTAGCCATCAACAAGTAACTGGCATGTCTGTTGCTGATACTGGTGGGAAACAGGATGATCAGGTATGTCTTTAGAGGTAACCTATTATTGGTAGTGTACAGAAATATTTTCCATCAGGAAGATTTTTAATGCAATAGTACAACTGACTCAGATTATGCAAATGCAAAATTTAGATGAAGGTTTGAATGTAAAATTAAAACACACTAGAAAAGCAATCCAGGCTGCAAAGACCAGAATCAGGGACCCCATCTAGCACAAAGATACTTTGCTGCAGAGCCAGGTTCCCTCAGGCAATGAAACTTCTCTCTTACCTCCAGGGGAAACAACAGGGCTGCTCAGCTAGCGGCCCCTGCTGGACTTTCCCCTTAGCCAGATGAAGCTTGTCTTCCTGGACAAAGCAGAACTCAAAGTTGGGAGATTGTGGAAGTCAAGTTGCTGACCTAGACTGCAGCCTGGTGGTAGCTACAACTATGTCCCTTGGTGTCCAAAGCTGTAGATTTGATTCCACTGAGAATATCCTTCTGCCAAGTGGAAGATCAGTGATTTGTGACCCCTCAACTTGAAGGCTTAAGACTCCATGCTGCCTTCTGGCAGCTGAGTACACTGGCTATTAGCTGAATAACAGGCAGTACTAGGTGGCAGGGAGGGCAGGAATGGCACAAGGATTTTTGCAGCCCTAGGCAAACAAAAGTTTGCCACCCTCCCTTGTAACATACCTGGAAAGAGCAGGCATCAGACAAAGCCCCGGAGTGGCAGCTCAGCACATGACAAGACTCCAGCAGTGGCCCCCAAGGAGCATGTGCATGGTGTGCACACACTGTTGTTGCTATTCCACTTCAATTTGTGGCCCTAGGTGGCCACTTGTGCTGCCTGGACAGTTACACCAGCCTTGTGGAGTAGGATTAACCAGACTCGTACCTAACATCACTGCACACATCCAAACTATAGGGGCTTATTCTGGTATACTCCCTTCCTGGCCTCAAGAAACTTGTGTTTCCTGCTGTACAGAGGCACAGTCTCAAGAGGTAATTGGAGAAGGCTTACCCCTGACCAGTAGCTTGGTAGGTAGTGCATAAGTCTAGGAAACAGAAGTAGGTTTGAATCCCCTTATCTCCAAGCCCTTGAGCAAAGCAACCTCCCAGCTGCCCAGTTCTGGGTTTGATGCCCTTCTCTAATGGAGATGTAAAACCACACCTATCAAGGTGGAGATGTTCTGTATTTTACATGAAAACGCTGCTGGCTGGGGAAAAAGAGGGACCACCCCCAAGCCACCTTGCCATTAATCAAGCCTATTCCTGGCCCCAAAAACCTTGGCTTCCTCTCTGCACAGCAGTACAGCCTCAAGGGGCAGGTTGGCAAGCTGTCAAGGCAGCCTAGACTCTAGCCATGAGACTTAGACACGCTTTGGCCATGCCCAAGAAGTGGGTTTCCCTCCTGAGCATATCCTGAAGCACTGGAAGACCTGGTTTCTATGAGCATCAGAGGCTATAGCATCCTCTCTGCTAGGAGGATGCAGAACCTGCCAGACTAGAGCCTGGACAGCCTAAATATTCTATACTGAATAATAATAGGCCCCAAAGAGAACCAGCCTGACTCAGCCCCACACACACTAACCAGAACCCTAACCTCCTGCTTCCAGGTCAGCAGCCAGCCCACTGGGCTACTGCACTAGGGGCCCCTGGTAGACTGCTTTGCTGGCTCTCAGAAACTTGCTTTCCTTGGCCACACAGGTCACAGCCTCAAGGGAGGGGGGTTACAGATGGTAGGCTACTGACCTAACTTGTAGCTTGGTGAATAAGTTGTGCCCATTGGGGTGTCAAAGCTGTAGGTTTGCTTCCCCTCAGAGCCTTTTTCAGGTGGGAGATCTGCCGTTTCCACTGTGCAAATGGATGGCTTAGATGGATGGCTTGTTGTCCAACATTCCCTAGGCATTGTAGTAACCAAAGTGCAGAGCTGAGAGCCTTGGTCCTAGCACCAAGGTACAGCCCTATACTGCTGGGCCCCAGAGGCAGGCTTTCTTCCTAATACATTGGAGCTTTTTTACAAGTTAAAAAAAATCAATCTGCCCTACCATTCAACCTGACTCTAAGGAAAAAAAAAACTTCACCCCAGTCCCTTTACTGTGTTGGCAGAGGTTTAGCCAATGGGGACTTAGGAGCGATCTCACTGGGTGGTACACAGAGAAGACATATCTCCCCTATACGCCTGCAGCTTTACAGGGCAGCCCCGGTGTAGGGGAAGGTAGAGGTTGCCTCATGTTAAAGATCTCCATATACAGTGACATCAGTATTTTGCATTTATACCCTTTTCCTTTGACTCCAGACAGCTGAGAATAACTTAGGTCATCCAGCACATCCCAGTCAATATATTTCCCCTCCTGCTTCACCTCTGCTGACTCTTCCTGTAGATGCCACAGAAGCACCTGTATTTCAGGTAGTGAGTAAGTATGTGCTTTACAAAGATCTCAAGGGTTTGAACATTTGCTTAAGATGGGAATGAAGGTTTCAGTAAAAGTTGTAGTTCACAGCAGCAGTTAACAGTAGTACTGTAAAATCAAATTGAGTTGAGGAAATAATAAGCTTCCATTGGCTGTGCATGGCACAGAACCCAGAAGAGCCTCTCCCCAGGCTGGAGGATGCTCCCCAGCTTCCCTCACTGGGAGTTTGGAGCACAAAGGCTCTTGTGGTCTCCTCTCCATTGGAGGGACACCTGCGTGAGTTGATGCTGGCTCAAGAGGGTATGGGTTGCAGTAGATCCCTGCCATAACTGAAAGGTGTTTGTAGTGGAAGTATTTGAGTGGCCGCTGGTTGTACTGAGCCAGCCTGGTGTAAGCACATGTATCTTAAAGTTCCTGACTCAGTGAGTGAGCAACTAGCCATTCTGTTATAGTATACTTACTGAAATTGCCTCTTATTCTTTAGGCCTCAGCTGGCAAAAAGTTAACACGTGTGTTTTTCTCTTGCTTTCCCTTTTAATAAGAGTCCTTGCGGTATGTTTCATGCCCATTTAACGTGGACTTTTGTTATTTATTCATACATCCATAAATGACTGCGTGTATCCTAGATTTTTATCCTGTTTTTCCAGAACACCAGTCGGAGACAGGACACTTGAAATCATATTCTGTGGGTGCGCCTACATGTGCTATTAAAAATACTGTGCAGTAAGCCTACCAAGGAACTCATCTCTCCATGTGCTCCCTGTTCAAAACAGATTTGGTCCCAGTGGCAGCAGCCTGCTACAGGGCTTCTCCCACCCTGCTCTGCCCTCTTGCAGAAGCCAGGGGGAGCTCCAGGCTTTCCCCCACCCCATGCTAGCCTGGGGGCTAGAAAGGGGCATGGGGTGGTCCCAGTGGGCATGAAGCCAGGACAGCTCTGTTGGCTGCAGTGGCAGCTGTCTCCTGGCCCTGTATACATTAGGAGGAAATTTGATGTGCACAGGGCTGGGAGAGAACAGCCCCTGCAAGCAAGCAGAGCTGTCCTGGCTCCATGCTCATTCAGACACAGCTGCCAGGAAGGCCCCTGCCAGCAGGGCTTCCCTGCCTGGCAGACAGAGCTGACCCTAGAGGTATGCGGAGCCCAGAGCATATTGGCCTGTGTGGAGCCTGTGCAGGAGGGGTGGGGTGGTAGCGAGCAGCTGGAGCACGGGGGGCCGGGGGGTAATGAAG